AATTTAATTTGTGTTCGCAACCTGATCCCCGGTGTGTGAGTGTGAACGGAGATTACAGTGAAATAACTTTGAGATAACGTTAGCAATACTATAACATATGTATATTACGGATAATATACATATAATATCTAACAGCAATAAAGATTTTATAATTATATACAATATTTAATATAGAAACTTAAGATACGAACCTGAATTTGTATGAGCTAAATTTTATTACAATATCAGGTATCAATTATACCTACTGCATATAAAAGTATAAGCGTTAGTTAAAAAGATATTCACTAATGACATTTTAGAATAGGTATTACAGATTTATCAGAAATCGAATCCGAAATTACCAATCTAATTCTCGGCAAAGGTAAAAAAGTATTAATTAATTTATATTTAAATATTAACCCAAAACTTTGTATACACAATTGCTAATCATACGGGAAATATATGGAAACACAAATAAGGATACATATAAGGTAGAAATCAAAGGGTTCGTTGAAATTGTAAATATTATATAATATACCCATAAATCGACCGCTTCGTGTGTTTATGGGAATCTGTTCAACTTCCCCATATCCAATAATCCCTTTATCCCTTAACTGGAACGATCGAGGAAGCTGATTTATAAATCAATCTGCTACGTAAACTTATAATACCGCAAAACCGATACAAATTAAGTCAACATTTAATATAATATTCACAAATAAGATAAAATCTATACGAATGTATATACATCTTATCATTACGAACATTAAATAGCCATTAGATTTTTAGTTATCACTTGTAAAGAATACTAAGTACGACTTTTAAGAAAGCTGGGCGGATTCTATCAAGTGATACAACACCTACCACCTATCGTACATCAAGTGTTGGTAAGTAATGATCCAAGACGGTAGACAGTACATGCTCGAGCTTGTTATCGGAATTAGCCACTGCATACTGCAAACACGCACACACATACAAACTTGCACACAACACACACATACGACCGTCCAATCGCTGTAAAGCGAAACCAATTGGAAGTTTCATTGCGTTTTTTTCTATTAGTTGTTTTGTTTTACTAAGTTCGACTTGAACTATCCAGTTTTTAGTGGAATTAAAATTGATGAGATCGTTTCATAACAAGTAGACATGTCGCAAACAGTGAACTGTGAAATGCAGCAAATAAAAACAAGAAGCTAAGATGAGAGAGTACGTTAAAAGAACTTATACAAGCTAATGAAAATAATGCAGGCAGTAGGCGTTTAGCTATAGAACACTAGCATTGTTACCGACAGTAATTAATAAGAATTACATATAGAAAAAAACGGTACACGACGATAACATACAATAGCAGCGAAAAGCACTTTCACGTGAATAAGTTAATATGCGGTTACATACAATTAAGACCTCAAGATCTAATAATGATAGAGAGAAAACCCAGTTATATCATTTAAATTCCCATTAAAAACTACTATTGCATACAATGAACCTACGATGGACTGTTTTTAAGAACTTTGAAAAATATTAGCGAATAATTTCCTTCTTCATGACTAATTTTGAACTAATATTGTGACGAAATTTGGCCACATTTTAAATATATTGCATGTAATAAATAAGCTAGTGTCCCTACCCAAGGAAAAGTCGAAAATATTTGAAATACACACACGGAATGTAGCAAATGGAGAAATAATTTTGAAATATCTGGTCATGTCTGAATCGAGTAACAATATTAACTATGGACGGCATCAGCTTAGCGAGTTTCCATCGCTGAATGAACGATCGCTCGTCAAACGTCCAATCACTCACCATTCTCGTCATATTTACCGATAAACATGGGTTTACCGACGTAAACTAGGTCATTTATGGACAATACGAATTCATCAATTTAATTATTACATTTTGTGAACAATTTTTATTTGCTAAATTCCATAGTAAAATGTAAAACGAGATGTTTAACACATTTTAAAAGAACAATCTTATGGTTTCAAACTATAAAAAAAATCTCAATTAATTTGAAGAGGGACATTGTCCTTTTCAAATGTAGGCCATCAAAATCGATGATTTCCAAATGATCAAAACCAATTTAGTCATACAGCCGTACCCTCTCTAACGTTAAAATTGCGTGATTAAGGACAATGCCGTTGTTATTAATTCAACTTCTGTCAAGAATAAATCAAGAGAAATTTTTAATTTTCTATACACATTGTTTACCTACTAAGATTATAAATTAATTGAACATTTTCATTAAATACATTTGTATAACAATTCCACTATAAATTAACGGAATGATATTACAGTTGAAAGCAAATCGTCATATGTAAAGGAGTCTAAAACAGCTAATAGAGGGAATAATTGAAGTGAACTAGACGCATATTGGGGCACTACAATCGACAGACCGACAGCCGACAATTTTGCATGTATAATCTTGAATACATAGTGCGAATGATGTTACGTTAGTTTAACTATATTTTGAATGAATACATAAAGAATACTTGGATTATTAATGTAATATTCAATTTCTTAATTTTATTATGAAATAAATCTTTAAGTAGAGAGTTTAATTCAAATATTGTGTATAATGTTGGCATGTTATAAACTGAAAAATCTATTTTATTGATAATATTAATAGATGAAACATCCACGTTTAATAACAAATGAACTCAAATCAACTAAAATTTGTTTTATATAATTTAAAGGAGACAATTTAATTTCGAACATGCCAGCTATGTTATTACCTTTATTTATGTCACACGATATATCAAACGTACATAAACCCTCGGACACACAGACGTCGGGATTACAATGGCCGCTGTGAACGACGCGTTGAATCATTTATTAGAAGCCAACCGGACTGGAGTCGATGAATCATGATACTTAAATTATATTTAACGTTTGAATGTATAATGAACTGTTACAATTAACACCGAATAAAGTATTTACTTAGAGGAGAACCGCAAAAACTGAAGCCGTCATAAATATTACGATGTAGAATAGGAACACTCGAGACTATCCTCGGAATACTTTTTTTTTTTGTTTCAGGTGAAAAATTGAAGATTCAAGCAGCACTCGGCTTGTATCAAATAACTTAGCCTTTGTTATGTTAATATCCGCCTAAAATTATCTTCCAGCCACAAACTATGTACATATACAAAAGCTACATTCACTACCACCTTTAAAAAAGTGAATTTATCATTTTAAGTAGAGCTCGTTTGTACAGAGACGTTTTGTTATAACGTAGTTCTGAGATTCAAATATCTACCTCTCATATAATTAAGTGTATTTACATTATTATACAACATTTGTTCAACTAATACAAGGAAGTTTTAGAGTGGATTAATTTACACTCGCGTTGTATTTAAATTCATATTTTGACATTAATATAATGTAGGTCAATATACATATCAAGAGAATTTACAATCAACTCACCTTCTTGAACTTTATATCAATTAGAATAATTATATCAAAAAAGGCAATGAAATGTCAAGCGTATCGGCAATAAATAAAAAAATGTATAAATATCAATCAAATTAAAATCATAAAAATTTTCAAAACTTCGTAACAGTCGGGATCAAATTATTTTATTATTAAAAATGATCTTCCGAAGTAGCAATTGAATTAAGAGAACGTAAATATAACCTATTACCCTAAATCTTTAGACTTGAAGACTCGCAAAGTTGCCAGAGAATTAAATCGAATTTCTACTTGAACAAGTTTGAGTATCTTTGAACCCTTTGAGAGCTGAATGGACGGATGATCAAACGGAATTCTATGTATATGTATGATAGATTATGCCAATTTAATGGGACGCTTATTACAGGGTATTAAAGTCTATGTTCCAAGAAATCAGATTAACATAGTTATATCACATAATTTGTAAGTAAAGTTTGTTATTCAAAGAAATTGAAATAGGGTTTTAATTATATACAATTATGTCATGCAATAACGAAACAACAAGTGAAAGATCTTGCAAACATTAAAAATGTAATCAGGAAGAGTAATAAAGAAATTAATTAGTTAATCAATATTTAATTAATTATTAACATTTAATAGGAGGTATGCAAGCAAAAGATAATATCAGTCAATGTGCCACAATGTATTGTAAGTTTATTAAAATTCAAAGTTATGAAGATTTCACTTGGTAAAGGAAAGGAGCAAATAAAACGGGACACAATATAGAAACAACTTCATGGTATGTGAACATAAAAGCTATGTTATAAAAACATCAATTCCGCAACAAAGTCACGACATTATAGAAAGCATATTACGTCAGCAACAATGAACAATAAATAACAGTATGCATACTCGTTCACCGTTAAAAGTTCCACTGATGTATCTCATTGTGATCCCTTATGATCATTTGTCACTACAAATTGTATACACAGAATATTTTATTACGTTTTAAATGATAAATTGTTCGTTCACTAAGACGCTGATTTGATTTTGAGGGACATTTATAAATATGACGTCACTTAATCACACTATATGGCCCAAGGCTCCGTCTTATTAAATGTGGATCTATTTCAATAGCGTCGGATTGTTCCCTTCCTATTTGATTAACGAAACCACTACCATCTATTCATTCTTATAACGATATTATATAAGATATTTATTAATAAAACCTATATTATTATTTGACTATTATACCGCACGAGAACTATTTAATTCAAGGCTAAATTTTACGTTAAACATTCTTGATATTAGAAATATTCAAGATTGTATGTGTTAAGAATTCACTATTTATAGATTTGATATATATAAATGCCAGTTACTAATGTTATTTTTAATCATCATTAATATAATGTCAGGGTCCTTAAGATATTTGTCTTTTTTTGTCAGTATCTAATTTTGATCTAAATCCTTAACCTAAACTAACCGATAATTAAGAATACAATACTTTATTCAATTTGTTTTCTTTGTTGGATCATATTATATTAGTTAATTTAAATCCCTACATCACATGTATTTATGTGTGTGTGTGTGTGTGTGTGTGTGTGTGTGTGTGTGTGTGTGTTGTTTATACTCACAGGGCGCTGGGCTGGCTGGCTCGGCGCATATTCCGATGGATTTGCTGGGGTCGTCGATGAGGGTCTGGGCGAGCCGGTAGTCACCAAGCTTGATCTGAATCTGCTGACTGACGCGGTCCTTGTTGGTCACCTGACATATCAAAACGAATTCATTATAATATCTATATAATCATCAAATATAACAAAAATACCGCAACATACTCATCATCTTAAGAATTAAAATAAATCAAATAGTCATAGATTGAATGCAATCATTTAAATAGGTCACAACGAAATTAAGCTCTTTTAATATCATCCGAGTTATTGGCAGATTGATTCAAACATAAAAAGAAAATCTGAACGCTTCAAAATAAAATAGACAAATCTTAAAATAAACGATTATTTACATTATCAATAGAGGCTCTAGAAACTTGTTATAACAAGCCTACATCTGTGTCATGTTCAAGGATATATATAATACATTGATAACATGTACTTGAATTTCTTACACACAAATAGTGACTCTTATCATTATTTTTATTCGCGATAAGACAACACTTGAAAGTAATCATGACTTGTTTAAATTTAAAAACTATTTCTTTTATATAATTTTTAACATTAAAGAATTTATATCGTTTCCATTTATCGAAGTATTGTATTTGCTCACAGAATTATATTTAAAAATAATCTCATCTACATATAAATATTAAAAATGTCTGTACAGTTGAATGATTTAAGTTGCATAGTATTTATACAACGGCATCGGGACGCGATAAATTGTCTGGATTTTTTAATTTTTATTCGTTCCGCCTTCTACTCGGTAGCGGTGGGCGTGTTTTTAATTACATTTACCGAATAAGATAACAAATATTACAATACAATGATAAATTAATGTTTGTAAAGATAATCACTTACATATCATATTATATAGGCCTTTACGAATTGTTCTAAAAAATAAACATAAATTAAAATTTTAATCATCACACATATATAAGAACTCATAATCACTCATATAGGAACATATTACATATGTATCCAGTAATAAAAGGGGTAAAAAACTAGCTACGAGATAAGTTATTTTGCGGCAGTGAATGTTGCTATTGTAGTTGCGTATAAAAAGGCGACTTGAAAAGAAAACCAGCGTTAGATGATCATAGAGACCGCATTAGGAAGATCATCTCTATTCCACTAATTAAAATGTTATCAAATGAAACGACTGTAATGTGATGACTTTATTTTAATAATATAAATGTTCTATGACTTTATATTAACGTAGTGTGATACTTATGTTTTATGATACATTTATAGAAACTCATATTAACTTACACGATGACGTACGACTGACACATGCAAAGAAATTAACTTGCATATGAGAGAAAATTGCTGAGTAACACCTTGCTTATGTGAGTGTATCTTAAAGTAATTTCAATTCATTTTTAAAGACAAATATTCACTTATATTTTTCACAAGCCTAATTTGGAGTATGGCGAAAGAATTAGAATTATAAAGAATATTAAAGTCGGAAAATCTAATTTCTTTTTTTTGTGTTTATGTCAGTGTGGTATCAATTTTTATTAAAATCGCACAAGTTTTACAGAGCCGGAAAAAAATAACCTAATCCTATAATTATAAAATCAAAAACACAAAAAGATATCAGCCAGTATCACAAGATTTCCTTGTAAGGTTTCTCGTAAAATATTATAAGAATGGATCAATTTTTAATAACCTCTATATTAACAGTTTAATATTCATCAAATGTTCAATTAAGTTCGACATCTTCCTGTTATCTATATGAACGACCGTAACATTTGTTTTCATTTACAATCACTATCATTAGCTTTAATAAACTCTGTTGCCAAGGACTATCCCGAACGGAATGACAGGCGAGATGACGTCACACTTACTACCAGCACGAGCAACAAAGAACGATCACATACAAAGTTAAATACAATATTATATATAAACTCGGTATCCTGAAGTTTTATTATTACAGCCAGAAATATTTTACGATTCTTTGTTTCATTGTCATCATTTTTCTGGCTTAAAACCGTACGTTTTCTTTGTGACGAAACCTGTGGCTGTTTTAATATTCTAATGCAGAAATAACAAATGAATCACACCCTACCAAATATAAATCACTGTATAACATAACATATAAATTTGTCTAAATATATTTGAGTGATACATGACTATGAAATCTTTAGAATATCATAGAGTTATACCAAAAATATTCTAGATTCAATCATTCGGTGTCAAGGAAGTGAGTAAAACCGTCTCCATAAATATGTCAATGTCTTGAGTAAAACCGTCCACATGTTATTGTGAGATATATAGCAGAGTCAACGGCCGTTGTATTGGGCCGCGATGAAAACCAAAATAACTAGACTAATGTTTATTATTTATCGTGCGGTACGTTTTAAAACAAAATAGATATGTGATGCGTGAACCAGATATAAGGTATAATATTATGAATACCGTTCGACTTTTTTATATTCCTTTGTAACCATAACTACGTAGTCCAACCGACTACCTGACTGACATATAACATAATTCGGCAGAACCGAATCTTTAAATAAGAGCTTTTATCCCAAACCCATTGTTAAAATGAAACATTATTATTGAATACACTACATAGTATTGATCTTGAATGAGAAACCAAAACTTATAAAACGTTACGTATCATGAAGATAAAAATGTACAATGTTTAAATACCACATACCACATCATGGTATTTGAGCGAATTATCCAGTGCCAAATAATATTATAATTATAATAAAAATATTATAATTCATAAGATAAATAAAAACTTCATACATCAGAGTATCAAAGGAACGCGAGGTAAATATCGTTTAAGATATGACGACACTCCAACAACATATTACACAGTCAACAATAGAGTTTTATGTCAGTCGGCTTATTCTGAGTACAATTATGTGTTTAGCGGCTTTAGTATACACAAACTCAGATTTGGCAAACACTGATACAACCACAGTGCGTATCAAAGTATTCTATTTTACAACTTCTATTTGTATAATGAAACGCGTTGGACAATTTTTAATATAAAAACTAAAAGATCAATAAATGTTAAAGAAATATATACATATATTAATATAAAATGAATTCTTTGCAAGCGAAGCTGTAGTACTAGAAATGCAAGTTAAAACGGAATATCAAGAAATATTTTGTGCAAGCCAAGGCGAGGGGTGGTTGTAATGAGGCAGTCTAGACGCAGATGTACAATGGTGTATTATATTTGTTATACGGTCTAAGCAAAGCTGCGTTGCATATGATCAATGACATCGTAACAACTTATATATAAAATAAAAACTTATACATACTAGTTTCTTAAATACAATATAAATAAACAAATAAAAGTATTGACAGTCATATTCATGCATAGTAATAACATTAAATTATTCGTGAAACCTCGGTATTTTATCTGATTGGCCTTGCGAAGGTGACTCGAAACTGGTATCAGAATACAAATACATAATAAAAAATATATAACCCGTATTGATAATTGCGACCACGTCGAGAACTTGTTTTAAGAATTATATTATTAAAGATGATCATTACTGCTCATTATTATAGGCCATTGTTATATGTATATAACATTAGGAATAATCGCACGCGACACTCAATGATTTATATCCAAACAGAACTATTATATGAAATAAATGATATCAATTGAATAAATTTTATAGCGCAGCCACATAATAAATAAGTTTCCTACTACCGTATGTCAAAGGAACTAATTAAAATTCCTTAACAGCAATGAGCTTCTTAATATCAATTATTTATAGTGTATATATATTAATGTTCCTAAGTCAGTTAGTCGAAGACGCTAAGATTCTGTAAACATAGTGTGTGGCAACAAAACTGGTTGAACCGAACACACAATTAGTATGCAACTGGAACGTCTATTTGATTAATTAATGTTTCACTTGAGATTGCTATTATGAAATGCAATTTGTAAGTTTTATAAGTAACGGAATTTATATGGATATATTATCATTTAATATAATAAATATCTACTAATATAAATTGGATCATTCTATTAGTAAGACTAGTTTGTACGTAACTATGTTAGTCGATAGTTAATCTAGACCAGTTAATCATCTGCTGAAGTTCCAACTTTAGTTGGGGAATTAGTTTGTTTCAATTAATTGTCTCTCATATAAATTAAAATATGCTTCGTTATAAAATGTTAAGATAACAATTTTCTGTTGCTCTTGTGAATTTCTTAAGCCGTATATTTTTAAATGCCACCTAACATTCTCATAACGAACAAAAAAAGTTAATAAGCAGTAAAACAACTTGAGCAAGAACGCAATTCCACCGTTGGATTCACTTTGGAGATGTTGGCAAGCTTTAATTACATATGTGTTTAAAGTGGACGGAAAACTGCGATGCATCACAAACTGCCACCAGCGAGTTGAATGCTTTTTAAAACGTTATTATATCCTCACTTTGTTCGCAGTCGTTTAAACAACGCACCAGTTATAATATACATTTTTCTGTTTCAAAATCGAAGCGGATAAAGGATATCCTGTGCACACGTTGCTAAACCGAGACTTCACACTTATCATAGAAATGAAAATAGACATGACAGTATGTAAACAACAGAAACGAGAAGAAACACTCTCGTTATCATACATGTAAATATTTGTCATGTAAATTATTTGGCAACAGTCCCTTCACCGGGACCGATATACGTGTGTTCGAGTAATCGTAATTACCGACTACGTCAAAAGGTAAACAAACAACAAACATACACATACTATATTACTTTACCATTGCTCTTATCTAACCTAAGATGTTCAATACTATCAGGAATCCTATAAGTTGTGTCTCTGACGCAAGTAATCGATCGATCTGAAAGAGATTCGTGCTCGGACGTTCTATAAAACGGCATACTGCATTCTAGTGGCTGGAGACACGCGAACCGACAACAGTACCACCTTGCGATCACTTATAATAAGTTACAAACACAAAGCGAAGAATATATGGAGTTACGTGTTTATGAAACGGTCGCATGTTCGCTACGTATTAAAATTTTATCATCGTATACATTCAGTTAATGGTACGTGACAATGACTCTAATCGTTTATCTTTTGAACGCTCACTTTCGTTCAACTACCATATATATATTACAATAAATTATAAAGTAGTTTTTGTATTATTGAATTAAAATTAAACATTTACAATTATGAATACTATAGCACATGCTATGAAAGAACTTGATTAGAAAATAAAAGTTAATTTGAGATTGGTTTCGAATTATGAAGCTACGAAGTAATCACACGCCCGTCTGATAGCATTTGTAATAGAGATCAAATATTTACAAATTTTATGTTTTGGGGCCCTTTCATATAAATATGTTTCATTAAATGAATTTTAATATTGATCACACAAAGATTTCGAATTATTTGCTTTGCAATAATTAGTACAATAATAGATTACCTGTTTACTTTAATATTTTTTATGCAAATAAGTAGATTAACTTAATCATTTTCGTAAATTGCAATACATTTTAAGTGAATAGCATTAAAAAAAACGTTCACAAGGTGCATCATATAACTTAGTGGTACAAAATAGTTGGCCTATTTCCTTTAGCAAGTATCACGGATCACGGATGTTGCCAAATCGAAAATCCGGCCTCACCAAATTTGGTACTGGCGTTGTAATATTCTTAATAATCTTTTATTTCTAGGCCAAGAACTCATGCGGATATCGTATTAAATGATTGTATTGATGTCACAAACTTAGGACGTCATTTCACAAATTTATATATACCTTGCTAGGATGTTATCTATAAAAGGTAATAATGAGGACTTTTTTTATTCATCTTAAATCGTCTTGAATCAATTTTATATTAACGCCATTAACTAGTGCGTACAATATTATTGTTTTAAGACATATCTTACCCTGAATGGTGCGGGGAACAGTGACGAGGCATCAGGTTCTGGCGCGTGCGACTGTGACATTTGGTGCGCGCGCGCCTGTCGCTCGCGCTCCCTGTCGCGCTCTCTGTCGCGGGTGTCGCGAGTGTCACGGGTGTCGCGTGTGTCGCGAGCGTCGCGACCCGCCCACGACGCGCGACCGTCGCCCCCGCCACGGTCCCACTTGTCGTACCTGAAAGACAATACGCGTTCTATATTGATAGCACCACACATGATAGTATACGATACATCAAATGCTTCGACTCTCAACATTTTACACCCTCAAACACACGCTTCAAATAAAATAAACTCAATAACAGTCTTATAGTGTCCAGTCAACATAATATTTAATTAAGTTATTCATAAAATGTCTAACAACAAATATAAAATTAATGTAACGCAAATAAAATACTTGTAACAAGAATTTTTAACACACTTAGTAATACGTGTTATGTTAGTTTACTACAGTGTACGCTACACTTTTCATTCACACAGTACATATAAGCGATCCCTAACACTATTTGCTTTCACATTAGGTAATGCTGTATAATTATTACGGCATGTCAATACTGAAGGTATACTGCTATATATTTGTACTATCCACAATAAATTTAAAGCAGAGGCCACGTTAAGTGTATAAGTTTGTTTGTTTTAAAAGTTCTTACAAGTGTATTGAGGTTATTTCCTCTCGGTGGGTGGGCTTAACCCATCACGTCTCAGCCTAATAAGTTCATCACACAGAGCCAGTTATTCATCACGATTTCTTTCTAAAAGAATTCCTTATTCCTATTTCTTTCGTTGAATAATGTTTTATAATATTCGTGTTAAAGTCAGCTGTTTAGTTTTCTTTATCAAAAATTATACGACAACTTGTTGTTCTTTAACGTTGTGATTACAAACATTCAATGTGTTTGTTGTATCGGTAGTGGGGAGAAGAAGGGTGGGGGGGAACTGAGAGATCGCTCGGAAGACGATTGCAGCGGTTTTTTTTTGATGATTTTGGATGAAAAAATTAAAAAATACTAATTATTTCTAGGCGAGACCTATGTTTTCTCATATCTATAACTTTTTTATATGTAAGCATACTTTTGTTGAACCTTGTAAATACTATAGAATCTTATTAGAAAGTTTAAGATAAAATGATATTATATAATAACCAAATGTTAAATGTTCTATTTAGTATACAAATACTTGGAGAGAAGAAAAATTTTAAATTTTAAACTTTTAAGCGTAATATCGACTCGTGTATTTCTGAATTTAATCTAACCTTATAAACAAGCAAACATTACCACACATGCTGTGGTCAATAAAGCGAAGTGCACTTATGCACCTGTGTTATCTTAGTTAGGGATTTGGGTCGCCGGCGTTATCGGACAACATCTGACTAACGACCGATGAACATTTACTTTGTACAGACTCCGACTGAGTAACACACTGAAACGGTGTAATGGAAACTTCTTAATTGGAACATATTTACATAGAGACATTAAACTCATACACAACGTACTCATGTTGATCATTGTACGTTTTGAAATTCATTACTGTATAATACTAATAATGAAATGTACCTAATATATGGTACATATTTATAAGAAAAATATTGATAACAAGCTATAAACAAAGCTCATAATAATATTGTATAGTTTTTGATCGTGATTTAATGATCTGTGAACAATGACGGTTGGAAATCATTATGAGTATCTGATGCGTTAATATGAAAATATCAGCAATGATATTTCATTCAACATATTAATAAATATAAAATAAACAGCTCCGTGATATGAAATTAAATGTAACGGTTTTAATTAATGATGCGCTCACTGATTCTATACAAAACATTCATGATATTATATTTTGATTTCAAACATAACTTTTTTTAATTTTATTAATATAAAATAAAACATATAGTGATAATAATAACACATTCTAATTTAATTTATTTTTCTACTCATTTACAAACCACATACATTGAAGTATGGATGGGCTTTGTCAACTCTATCATTAAATGTATATGTATAATATTTAAAACATTTATAGTTTATATTTTGTCCTGTACAAAACCGTAGGAACCTATTGGACTAATGACGGTTCGATGCCTGATAGATAACATTTGCGGAATACGTGCATCGATTACACTAAACAATATACGAACATATTGACATTATAAATATGATAATTCATGATGGTACAAAGAGATACTTTACCTGCACTCTACTCATATACATTGCTGTTTAAAATAAAACCTTAACACAATGTAATAGGATCATAAAACGCTAACACAGTATGAGGCAGCGAGCACAGTAAGCTTCTCGGAATCTACAGCTTTTGATATAAACCGACTGAACAAAGATGCCGCATTTAGTGAGACGATAAAAAACAAACCCTTGTCACTGTTCAATTATATTGTAATACCTAATATTTGTACGTCTTTCGACATCAATAATTTTAAAGTAATTGTCGTCTATTATTTACATGTTTAAAAATAATTAACAAAAGATAACACATAAAAAAAAACACTTCATAAAACAATAGGACCATAAAAAATAATCGTACTATATTTTATATATTATAATGTAAATTTTTCCTACAACTGTAGACAATATTATATAGATAGAACGTGCTAACTACTTCTGTCAACGTTTTTAATATTCAGAGGCCGCATCTAGGTCATATTTTTATCGATGCAGTTATAGTTTCTTGAACATCGCACAATAACCGACATCCGCTTATGAAATTTTAATATCCTGCATGATGAATAATAAAAAATGTTCATAATTTTTCATTGTATAACTAATGCAATTTTTTTAACAGAGATCATCATTTAAAGTGTCCGGAGGTGAAAGTATTGCGAATTCTATCACAGCCACCCAATCCGTGCCTTTTACTATTACCTTAGTGGATTGCGGATTTGAAACAGGGACAGAGAATAACAACATTCTTATTAAATGTAATATTTATATGACCGGCATAACCTAAAGTGAAACCGTTTCCTTTGAGTAAAATATTATTGATATATGATAAATAATTTAATAAATACAACACGTACCATAAATATTAAGGACGACATTTTTATCATTCCCTAATGTTTATATATATTATACAGTGAGTAGAAATGAACTGGCGATTAAATAGAACAATATTTTTCTTAAGTCTTTGTAATTAAAAGTCACAAAACAGACTCGTATATAAAATGAGGAAACCAATTCTTACGTCATTCTATTACGTCTATCTGTATGTAAATGTAAGTTACGTTGTATTTGTGAACAATGTTCGGACATTTAGGACATATTGGAGCACTAATTAATTTAACGAGACAAGTGAACCGGTTCGACAATCACTTCACAGTATGCTGACAACTATTGTGAAGACGGACATAGGCCTATGTTTATACTAAATAGTTCTTGATATTTATATATGTATATGAACATTAACTAATTAAGCATATCTCGGGCTTAAACCATTTGATGGGTTTCTTTGTCAGCTTTCATATTACTTCGGAACTGTTTAAATAAATTATAAATTGAAATTACTTGATAATCAACATCAGATTTATAAACGACTAACTTTCTTTATTAGTAAGTAAAACGTTTTTCATGAAAATGATTTTACTTTTAGAACATAAAATATGTTTCCAAACAAAAAACAACAACTACCTACCCGTCTAAAAACAACTAACTGAAACTACTTGATAAGTTTCGAAATGAAAACAACTTTAAACTAAACTGTCTTTGTTCGTAAATGTTTTCATTGTTTTATTTTCATTGATTCCTCTGTATAGATAGTAACAGGTAACGTTAGTACAATGTAACAAAAGCCTCGATGGACATGTGACAGGGGCAATCTGTCGTAATATTTAGCAATTTCCTATAACCGTTCGTCGGACCGGCATTGTGTAGTGTGTACACCACTGATTGATAACGACCGATTGGGGAAATTCATATCGAGTTTGTAAATAACATTATCGATATTAATTCCACTTTGCTGAAACATTGATAACGGAACACATATCGCATACTCATTTTATAAACTGTATTATTTTACTTCAATATAAATTCATAGCAAGTGTTTCATATATTGATTGCATTCAAATTTATCATTTCATAAATCTCACGTACAACTATGACTGACGATAAAACTTAAATGAACGTCAGGCAAAGAATATAAATATAACTATCTATTGTATGATGTAAGTTATGACAAACTAACATAAAATCTTCAGGAATTATATTTATATTTCTTACCAATATTGGTATCTAAGAAATATCAAGATTAATATTTTTGAAAGTATTAATGATGGTTATTAAGTGCCTATTATGACGAGTCGCTCGCAACAGTCCCGGATGTGTGGTTAAATCAGTTTTTGTTACAAAAATAGCAAACATCCATCAAAACATTGATATCTTAACAAACATTATCATTTAAATTCCAATTGTATGAATTACTTTTACGATATCAAATATATAATTGAATCAGTGACAGTTCAATATACTTGTAAATAAATTCAATTTGTATTAAAAGCAGTATTAATCCAAGGTATCAATTCATAAAACAACATTATATCTCCACGTACTAAAGTCACCCTCTTAAGGTCATCGACCGTGATAGAGGCAAGAGGGCATCACATTATACGTTCCCTTTGAAATAAATAACAGCAAGGCACACACTACGAGAGACGACCGCGGCAATACACTAGTATACAATCCTTTACAATATCAACTAACTATATCATAGTAACACTATTCTAATGAGGTCGATTAAAATAAGCCAACACATCAAGTAAGTAATATACACATTATATCTATTTAAATTGGATGTGATATAATCACGCTTATCAATAGCACCTGGACTCCTGGAGGCTAAGCGGTCAATGACTTTTATATTTCGCGAGGTCATCATATTTATCATTTTGATAAAAATTCATACACAATGTCATATGATAACAGGATTTCGGTTATCTTTATGAAAGATTTCTCGTCGATCGTCAGTCGTTACCTTAAAACATGGCGATAGCGTTACTTAAGTATCAGGAGCTTAGAGTGATGATTGTATAAGGTTTCACTTCTATTTCGAGGTATGGTATGGAAATGTACGAGCATCGACAATGTCACAATGTAGGCGGGGAACATTAGAGTTCAATGACCGCAGGATAAACCATAGACGGCTTTAAACAAATAAGTTCCCATCTGTGAAGATTGTACGGACGCCTTCACCGTTTTATTGATACATACATCTACATACTATGTATCAAAACAGAAAAAGATTAACATTTTCAGACAAAAAACATAATTTAATGACACGTATATAAAACTTTATTAACACCAACCATATGATAACAATAACGCCGGCTGAAAACGATGACGTAAATACGGAAACGTAGGAAATAATAAGTTGTGAAGATAATGCATCGCATTGTAAATGAAGATAAAAAAAAATATGAACTAGAACAAAACAAACTGCGGCTCAGAGACACAGAGGCCGTTAGAGGTTTTTAAAAACAAACGCAATTCAAACATGTTACTTCACGGCTTGTTTAATAAACTCTCAGCTTATAATAAAGCTCGCTTTTTAATCATATCGTTTTAAAATCTAGACAATTATACAATTTCTTTTATTAATTAAAAACAATGGTTTTGCTTCGAGTGTATGTTTTCATGTTGTAGTGATGTCGTTACCCTCATAATGATATAAAAAATAACATATCAGAATGAAATCATATTGTTTTAACTGAGTGTTATAGAGACTACCGTGACCATATAATTAATTTAATTCAATACATATTTATAAACGTAACTTTAAAAAAATTTATCAATCGAATATATATCTTTGACATATTAATATAGTGATATACAAATATTTTTTTTAATAAAGCTATAAGGTAAGCTTATTTCAGCGTTAACTTCTTAAACTTATTAGTATACGGTCATTATATTTAAAATGGCGATACGAGACGATTTTATTTAAGAGGCGGTGGTATCGCCGGATGCATTAATTCCAGCCTTTTTATAATCAGTTTAGCGACGTAATTGGTTAAATTGCAAGTTATGTTTGGTCAGTGCCGTGCACGGGCGTAATAAAGCATCTAATTAACATAAAATTATATAAATATTTTACATTAATTATAACATATAAGTAAATAAAGTAATATACTGTAACCGAGTACTGTTAATGTAGACAAACGAACAAAAAATCCATGATATATTCTATTTCTTTCATCTGAGGTAAGATATATTAATTAATTTATTTTAACATTTAAATATATAATGTAGTTAAAATGACGTCTTAAGACAAATGTTAAAATATATCACAAAACAAATAACGTTATATTTATAACATTTATTACCCGAAATAAATAACATTTCTACATAATAATAAAAAAAATAGCTAGTTCTCGTAAAACCAATCATTGGAACAGAAATGCCAATACTCAATTCACGCCAATCTTCATATAGCTCTGTTGTTTGTGGTTCCTTAATTACAGAAAACTAGTGGAAAGATAAAATTCATCTAATAATGGCAATATTTTCTACCTTTTATTGCGTATTATTTTTCAATATAATTTAACTTCGCCATATTAAGAACCTACATAAATACCTTGACTGTTCACATATTTCATTTTTATTTCTTAAAAAAATATTTAAGATGCTTAAAACAGATAACATCTTCCATATGAAAATTAATCTATTAAAATTTTAATATACTAAGATTAGTCTAGATTTGTATGTTATATGAATGAGATATAATTTAAAACATATATAAATAATGATAAGTGATCAGACACATTAATATTAACTATTAAATGACATTTATTTAATATTAAACCAACAATATATATCGTTCGGGTGGCGTCATGCTCTCGCTCTGCTAAATCGTTAATAGCTGTTAAGTAAATTATTATGTAAACCGACGTTATTCATTTGTAAACACTGGATTTGTGTTGATATTGCATTGTGTTCAGTTTCCATTGCCACCGATTATAAATATCAACCAACGATTACACATTGTTAGAAGAAATATATAGTTTTAGATTGAATTTCATATAAAAAATGCATATAAAATAATTCTTTGAACCAATTAATAATATCAATAAAGATTCTGTCACAGTCCGAAAGCGCTTTCTATTAATTTATTACGCTTTTATTACACGATTATGAAGCGTTGAAGAGAGTGCGTTGTATTTATAAATCAGAAAATAATAAATATAGCCATTAATATTGAAATTTGTAAGGAGTGTACATTACATATCATAATGCCGATATATAATCATGCAAATTAATTTGATTTTTCAATAAACTTTTAGATATAAATCCACATAATTTTGTACAATTTTGGTCTTAAATCTTAAAAAAGACGATTATTCTGAGTTCAATAATAAAAAATCATAATAATATAGGTAACTATTATACGTCATAACTTACCCAATGCCCCCGTTCAGAGCGGTCACCACAGCGGGCGGTCTCTCATAGCACATATGCATACCAGCCCCTCTGTTATTGCCACTGAACGAAATTTTGACTAAGTTATAGATACTGTTGCACAAAAAATTATATCCGAAGCTTACACTTCACTGTATTTGTTAATCAACACCACGTACAAACATTTTTTTTCACACTCTATATCGATAGTTAATGATACACAAGTAAGTGAACTGTGAAAGAGTTAAACATTTTTAAAGGGTTTACATTTATTTAGGATATTTGTACCTAGTACCTTTAGCTAAACTAGTTGACATTCATGACACGCCTTATCGCTGCTATTGTATTGATTAAATCGACCCTTCCCTCTAGATTAAAAATTGAGATGTCCCAACAAAAATTTCTATTAAATTTCTGCAAAGTTACAAAAAAACACCCAATTAATTAGGAAATTTCAACCTTCTGAATAATTCGATTTTATAAATAAATTAATAAAATTCAATATTCAAAGACAAATTAGAGGGAAAAAGTGCTTTGATAATGGACTGAATAGACAGTGGAAACATTTTGGAAGGTAGTCTTACGTCACTTGCAGCGTCACGGATAAAGGAAATCACGTAAGAGCATTTGTTTGAAACTCATCACGCAATAACGAGCAGTACACGATGAATACCGCCGTTGATTGATCGCAACTATCATATAGAACAACATCTTTCACACGAACATTTACCTTACATATGAACCCTATGAATCTAACAAATTTTAATATGGAAAGGTTTTAATATAATAAGACTGAGAACATGATGATAATTTCATCAGATCGGATTATAAAAATGGTAGCGTATCCTGCAAAAGTTATAATCTCAATTTAAGGCGCAACGATTGCGCTCCGATTTTCCGGCCTGCGGATGATTAATTGCTGCTCTCAGAATACTTTTTACCTTATTTAACGAACAAGCGGTAAATAGAATGTGGTATTTTTCGTCGGATCCATGACAAGTCATTACGTAGATATTCTCTCGGATGATCGATTGGGAGGCGATTGTCATAATACTTTAAGGACTAACAGATCTCCATCTATGAAAACATATTTTTGTAACGTTTCAACCTAATACAGAGTTAAGAAATGTCGCGACGGTAGAATAAATCGCTCTTAAATATTGACTGTGATATTCATATATTATGTGAAAGCGCATAAACAGTTCGGTAATTAAAAATGTCAGTCAAGGTTGTTACGTTTTTCGTTGTGTACCCAGTGTGTACGAGGAAAATTCTAATGGAGCCAAATCTTGCTGTGCCACATTTCAAATACATTAACCCACTTTGAACCGAGGTCGGTGTGATTGCCTTGTCACTAGATCCGACGATACCATCTCACCTACACGAATGCTCAAACAATAATATCTACATTCCAGAAATTGATGAATCTATGAGACCGGCTTCGCGTTAAACAAATGCTCCAAGACTATCTTCCGAGAAACTTCCACAGCGATAACAACCACGAGTCATGTCAACTGAATTTAAGAATTCCGTTGAGCTTTTTAATAGTGTGAACAATAAAAGCGTTACTAAAACGTTACGTTTTAAAATTTTTACACAAGCAACGCCAATTATCAATTTACTTCGAGTGTATTTTTATTGTATTAAATTATTTTTGAGTACAGCTATATGACCTTTGAATAAATTATGTAATCGTGACAGCGAGCTCTTTGTGTTACAAAAACCAATTCGTTGAATTTATAACAAAAAAGTTGGTGAACTTCTTTTGTTGGAGGTGTGATTGGTGTTGACACTCTTTATCTAATCTTAAGAACGCAGTAATTACAATTATGTATTTTTTACACATCACTAAAATATATTTCAAAATACCTATACATATATCTCTTTCTAATAAAAAATCCTTAATATAATAGACTAAAATTTAGTAGTCAATAGTTTCTTATAGTATTTAAAAATATTTTTTATATTTCTCATAATAAATTATTATAGTTATAACTTATTAAAACTATAACAAGAGTGTAGTAACTTTTATTGCTTTTTATAATGTTTATTGATAATAACAAATTAAACAGCTCAACAAATTCCTTAATGGCATAGGTCAATTGATATCCATGTAAAAAAGCGCGTCAGGCATGAGTCAACATGGTCCTTACACAAAAAGCACACCACAGTGTAACAACAACACACTAAGATCCAACACTGCAATCCAAGTACACCAAGTCAATGATTTCACTGGTGATTCGGGCGCGTTGACAACACGGCCGCATACCGATTCACGTCACGTAGGCCGTCGTCCGTGCGAATGTATACCCGCCAAAATAATATAATATATTGTTAGAACGGATCTGAGACGATCGCACGGCACGCGACTCTGTGGACGACTGAGGAGTGCGGATCGCTCGGGAGTCGGGCTTCGGCTCTCTGTCGGCAGTCGGCCATCGAGGAGGGGGAGCTACGCCACTCGCAGGTTATCGCGACTATACACAGATAATGATGTCAAAAGTGGATCTCACTAATACACTCCATTATGTTGCAAACGGAGCAAATAATCCGTACAACATTCAATTATATATTTAATGTAAGATTCGTTATGTTACATCTGTAATTAGTCATCGGAAAATATATGAGTAACGTCTTATACACTATACTCGTACATTGATGTTCAAGATATAATGATGCCATTTAGTGGCACAGCAATAACAGGAAAATATCTCAAGGTAAATTTATTGATAGCCGTCAATTAACAATTCGTTGCGTTTGAAATGGAATCAACAAAGACTCAGGTATCACAACTTGAAAAGAACCAGGCGCCGCTTTACGCACTGAACATAATTTTAATGTCCCATGACTGTTTACAACAAACAAAATTAAACCTTAAATACATAAACCTACGACTATAATAGGCTTGTCATTTAGTAGAACTTACTCTTCCTTGGTGTGATCGAAACAGAGATTGAAATATTTGATTTATCGTCAACGAAAAATACACCGTAACGTAAAGTATTTAAGCCGATAAAACATTGAACAGTTCCGTGCGTGTGTCACGGTGAGCATCCGTAAGTATTTTTAAAGAAATGCTACAAAAGCGACTCTATCCCCACAAAAATAAGATTCTTTTCGTTTTTATTGTATACACAAAAGATTGAAAGCGTATTTCCATTTAGCAAGACGTTGTGTGGCCCTCTTTATTTTGGTCGGATTAAGAAGCGTTCTTCTTATGATAAATGTATCATTTCTTTCGTTTTTTGCATTTTTTTACTCTTAGAAACTGCGAGTTATAAAATATTACTCTCGTATATTACGTATCACAACTATCTATTAAATATTAATTAGTCAATTATCAGTATATGATATTATATAAATACTTTAAATGTGTTCAAACTATAAATTCTTCTTTTAAAAACAGCGACTGAAATTGTGAAGAATCTTTATTCAAATTTTTCTTATAAAAAGCGTTGTTTTAATACCAAATAAAAAATCTGTATAGTATTAAGTTTAACAAAAATCTATCAATAAAAGGTAATTGACGGATTATTGGCCATTAATTCCACATAGATAACTAATACGTGGTGACCCGAATTTCATGACAAGTGGAGCGTCCTTCAGCGAGGAAACGATCGGTCGGTGGGGGTAATATTAGAGATTTAACTAAGCGAACATGCTTCACATTCAAATCATCTTTTGAATCGTAACATAAATCAAAGTCCAACTAAATATATTAACAAAAAAAATCTTGTTACATATCCGTATTGTATAACACTACACTGGCCCCAACACACCCGTCAACTAAAACCATTGTTTAGATCAACGTCTGTACCCTTCGTCAGAAGCAGGTGATGGAAATATTTCGAGAAACTCCAAGATTATTTCTCATGGGATGTGAATATGACTTACTTTTACATTACTTATTCGTTAAACTTTATATTAACAAAATAATAGCAGTACGTCGTTCTAAATTCAAGACTCGTATTATTCCGGGGAAAAGCATTTATAAACAGAGCGGTGGCACTTAAATGGATGCAATACAGTTTATTATGTGAAGAACTAATTAAAATCATTAAACATATCGTCAATTGTGAACATCACTGCGAGTAAAACAAAGCTGTTCATAATTAATTATATTATATTCTTAATGTTTTGCGAAGTAATCCCCCTGCCTCAGACGAGAAAAGCCGTCTCCCTTCGCAATTTGACTTTAAATATTTTCCTAAGCAGTTCAATCTGTGAATTGACAGTTGATAAAACCGATGCTTAGTGACTTAGATTTTTATTTAGCTGGCTTGTCTTCGTTTCAACGGACGCAAGCATTTTATTTATCCATTTAAGTTTGTTTTCAAAACAAGTTAGTTTTTAACGACTAATTAATTGTTATTCTATAAGACTTTTTCACACTTCAAATTCTTTTACCTTTTAATATGGTTTATATAAAAAAAGAACTACGTAACAAATAACGCAATTAATATCGTAATACAGAAATGTTGTAATAGTCAATAATAAAAGTTAACAAATAACGTACGCGTTACTAAAATGAACTTTAACATCACGACCACAGCGATTATATCTCATTGACGTCAAATTATAAAAACCTATTCATAATAAACTTATGGTGAAGCATAAAACAAATTTACCTCATCGTTATTGCAAATAATATAATCTATTATCTGTATGACATAGTTTTTCGATAGTCCGTTGTAATGTCAATTTGAAAGTCACTATGGCTTGCACAATCCCAGTTGTTTTGAACAGAGCGTATAATCGAATGTTGGTTGTAATGGGATTCTTACAATTGTTTAGTATCAAGGGGACTTTCCCTGTACGTTTTAATAAAAAATAATACATAAACGATTTTCCTTATATATAGAAAATGATTTTGTAAATATCATAGGTTAAGTAAGGTTCAAATTTTAACTACGAATGACCTTCAATAGATTTAATTATATAATTATTATTTATTATAACAAAATTATAAAGCAGAAAACTATTATTAATATTTTATATTTATTTCAATAAGACGTATGAGAGTATTCTCCCCCGAGTCTTAGTAAGTGGTATATCACTCCGC